TTAAGATATTTTTAATATTATTTGAAAAATTTTGTTTTTAATTTTATAATCAAAATTAAATTATCTTTTAAAATTATTATTTATTCAATTATCACTATTCAAAAATAATATAATTTTTGATTAATTTGTATAACAGAAAATAATTTTTTGCTAGAATATTTTTATTATTATTTGAAAGTTCTCACTTTAAATTTAACAATAATTATTAAATTTTTTTTCTAATATTGTCATCTAAGATGATTTTATTAAAATACAAAAATTTTAAAGTTTATAAATTTATTATTACTAATAATATTATTTGAAATCAATATTCTAATTTTATAATTATAGCTGAATTATCTTTCTAATAATTATAACAATATATTAAAAATGACTTTATTAATTATTTATAATAGAATCTTTAATTAACTTTATTAAAAATTATTTTAAATATTAAATTAAAACTTCAATAAAAAAATTATTCTTTATTTATATTTAAATATAATTCTTTTTATAAATTTTTGTTAAAATAAATTAATTAAAGAAGTATAAAATGACAAATTGAATTATATATTTAACATTTTAAATTAAAAAAAAAATTCAGATATTAATAATAATATTAGTTTATATTAAAGTAAATTATGATATAAAAATGAAAACAAAATAAATATAAAATTAAATTTTTATTCTTCCTATTAGTAAAGAATAGTATCTCAAGTTTAGATATACTTTGTAACATTATTATTAAAAAAATTTATAAATTACAAATTAAAAATAATTCATTATTATTACTATATATAAAACTTTTTATTTTAATTAATAAAACAATAAAAAAATAGTGTTAAGTAATTTTAAAAATACAACAGTTTACAAAAGTACTACAATATTTTTTTTTGTTTTAAAAAATTATACAACCTGAATGATCGATTTTAGAATAATAATTACTAAATTCATTTTAATCTTTGAATTTTGAAAATTTTTTTGGGATATTTTTAATATCAAATTAATAATTCCAATTTTGCATAAATAAGTAATCTATATGGTAAATTGTTATTTAATAAAATTTCAATTGTGAATAAAATTTTATGTAAAATGATTACAACCAAGATAATTATAGAGTTAATAGTTCTTCTTGAGGAGAACTAGCATATCAAATTTTATAACAATTGGATTAGTAGTTACTGAGAAATTAACTCTTGAAAATTAATTTCTTGATAACCACTGATTCAATTATTATAAAATTTGATATGCTAGTTTTTTTCAGGAAGGACTATTAACTCTATAATTATCTTGACTGTAACCATTCTGCATAAAATTTTATTTACAATTGAAAATTTATAAAATGACAATTTACTATATAAATTATCTGTTTACATAAAATCAGAATTATTAATTTAATATGAAAACATCTTAAAAAAATCTCTAAAACTCAAAGATTAAAATAAGCTTAATAACTATTATTCTAAAATTGATCATTCAGACTATACTTGCACGCAAAATTATTTTGGAGCCACGAAATTACAATTTCGGAGAAAAAAGTTGAAATAGTTTTTCATAAAAGACAAAATTATTTTACTTAAAACCCGAAATTTTTTGACCACCCAGATTTATTCTTTGATTAAAGATACATATAACTAGGTACTTTTTTTACTTCTATATATAGAATAGATTTTGTATAAATCTCAAAAAGTCGAAATACCTCAAAAATCCAAAATCAATTTTGGGAACATGTATAATTCAGACTGTGTAATTTTTTAAAAACAAAAAAAAAAGTATTGCAGTATTTTTATGAATCACTATAAGAATAAATTGTATTTCTTATAAAAAGGATAGACATGTATTATTAAAATATAAGTAGTTAAAGTTAAAATAGATGAAAAAAATTTAAAACAGCTATAATTTATTCAAAATTAACTTGTATTTTTTACATGAAATATAATTAATTTTTATTTTTGAAGTTATTTAGTACTGTTTTTAATATTTACTTATAAAATAAAAAGGTTTATATGTGACATTGACATCAATTAATAATTTTATATATAATTATGTCAATTGTTATTTTTATATATAATTTTAACAAGACCCTAGATAATATATATATATGTGATAAATAGGGTTTGTTTAGTTATCATATATAAAAAATTTTAAACTTATAATATTTGTTTGCTTAAAATTATATAATTTTATAAATGGTTATAATAGTATTAACAAGTTATTATTTTATTATAGTTATAAAATTAAAATGCATAGCTATTTATTTTTATAATCAAAATATTTGAAAAAAAAATTAAGTAAAGGTTTATAAATTACAAAATGAATATATTTTATCATCATTACAACATATAAACTTTTTAATTTAATAAATAAATGTCAAAAATGATACTAAGTAGTCTAAAATACAAGAATGATGTATATCTGTAAAAATTTCAGACCTATAAGATTTAAATTAAGCAAACAATGTGTGGTTAAAGTTAAATGAATAAAAAAAGGTTAACAAATAATCATTTGCTCATAGTTCTTTCAATTTTAAATATTCAAGTCTAAAATTTTTACAGAAAATACAATTTATTCTTGTATTTGAGGTGACTTAGTATTATTTTTAATTCTCACTTAATAAAATAGAAAGTTTTATATGTTACAACAATGATGAATTATTTCTATTTTGTAATTTTATCATATTTTTATAAAATAAATAATTAATATTATATCATATAATGTTAAAAATGGTCAAAATATTGTATAACGTTATACCGCGAAATGATTATCTAAATTAAATTTCTTTATATATTATCCAAGGTCCTATTATAACAATTAACATAATTATATATAAAATTATTGATCATTGTCATATATAAAAGTTTTTATTTTATAAGCAAATGTTAAAAACAATACTAAGTAATTTCAAAGACAAAAAATTAATTATACTTTTTGCAAGAAGCATAAGTCAATTTCATTAAAATTAAATGAATGGTAATTATTTTTAAATTTTTTTCCTGTTTCAACTTTATTTACTTATATTTTTTTCAATTTTAATAATATAGGTCTGTTATTCTTAAAAAAGGTGAATTTCATTCTTATCTTTAAGATTATTTAGTAGTATTTTTAATATTATCTTATTAAAATAAAAGGTTTTATATGTAGCAATGATGATAAATTATTTCTGATTCTTATAAGTTAGAATTATATAGGAGGTTTAGAATAGTTTAGGAGGTTTGAACAAGATTTAGAAATTTCTGAATTTGGGCAAATTATATAAAAGGCTAAACCTCCTTTAGAACAATTTCAGTTTTGGCTTTTTCTTAAACTATGGGGTTTAGCCTCCATCACTACTTCTATCATTAAAGAAGTATACCAAACTGCCATGTGTCTTAGGACATAGCACATTAAACTTCTTAAAAGAACCAATGTAAGGAACAAAAAAAACTGAGAAAATTTTTACCCTTAATAATGTCTTATTTTTTTTATCATTATTAAATGAAGATAAAGAAGATAACAAAGAAGATTCAGATGATGACAATAATGGTGATGATGATAATGAGAATGAGGATGATAATGCAATTTTCTTGCTTTTGTTTGTTTATAATGTTAAAATAAAATCACCCTAATTTGACAAGCTCTATTAAATATATAAGATTATATTGGTTAATAATATTAATTATAATTTAAATAAATAATGTTATAAAAATAATTAAAATAGTCAATCTTATGGCTTTTTGATTTTTTGAATTTTTCTCCTTTTTTAAGTGCTTTTATCAGGGTACCAATAGAAAATAATTTTTTTGATTTACTTGATCTATTCGATTTAGTCATTTTTTTTATTTGAAAAATTATTATTATCCCAGAAAAAATATTATTTTATCTATTAACTAGTTTAATTCTAATTTAATTAAAATAATATTTTTTTAAAAAAAGAAGACAATCATAAAAACGTAATGTTATATATTTTTTATTGATATCAAAAAAATGATATTATACTTAGAAATATCAGTATATTATGATTTCTGATATCACTATGACCACTTGATAAATTTCTTTTATATATCAGAGACTTAAATATGATATTATATATATCGGGAATGTTAAATATGATATTATATATATCGGGGATATTAAATATGATGTTATATGATATAATTATTTGCTTACTATAATTTTTCTTTTCTTTTTTTATAAAAATAATTTTACTTCAGTATATATGTTTATTATGATATTTTTAATAAATAAATATATAATAATATATACAGATAAAATTTAAATAATGCTTAAAATTTTTTATTACTATAATAAAATATCATAACTATAATTATAAGATTTATAAATATAACTTAAAAAATAAATTAAATTGAGCTGCATGATGATAATCCAAAATTTGCAAAATTTGTAGATAATCAAAAAAAAATCTTTTTTTTTCTTGCGGTAATCTCTTTCATTCACCTTATCAAATTCATTTAAATATTTTAGTAAATAATAATAATAATAATTTAAACATTTTGAATGAAATTTCTAATTGCATCATGTCATCACTTGTTTTAAATTACAGAATTAATCCTTCTAAAAATATTAGAAATATTGGTGGTAGAAATAACGGTAACATATTTATCTTTTTTTTTTTTCAATTTATTCAATTCAATTTAAAATTCAAATAAATAATTTTAGATTCAATATTATAATAAGCTTTACTTATATTTTGATTTATATTTTTTAAAAATTTTCTAGGTTTTTTATCTGCTAAAAGATGGTTTTCAAATTCGTCAATTAAAAATACTTTTTCACATCTTTTATTACAATCTACTCAAAGAAATTTCAAAAAGAATGATTGTAATGTTATTAATATAATCAGAAATTATGATTCAATGCCTTTAAATTCTAATAGTGGTGAATACCGTAACATCCGAAGTAGAACAAATGATGATCCTATTAATTCAAATGATTTATCCCCTTCCCCTCATTCTTCTTCTTCTCATCCATCTTCCTCTCATCCTCCTTCTTCTCACATTTCTACCTCTCTTTCTACTTCTTCAATGGATGAATGGAATTTCTTATTCGAAGATCCCAACTTTGGTGAACCTAATAAAAACATTCCATTTGATGATGATAAACCAAAAAGAAGATCAACATTATTACAAGAATTTCAAAAGATAAAAAGAAATTCACAATCATCACCTCCTCCTCCAACCACCAATAATTATGATAGATATAATGGTGATAATAGATATAGTAGTTTAAATAATAGATATAGTAATAGTGGAAATAATAATAAATATAATGGAGAAATTTCTCCACGACCACCACGACAACATAAAGGTTACTACATGCCACAAAAATTTTCTCAACAATCTTTAGATTCATCAACATATTTATCAAATAAATTTCTTTATAATCAAGATAATTATGTTACACCTTCTCCTATTGTTAAAGATATTTATAATTCAACCGAAAAATTATATCGACCACTTCCTTCACCAATTACTCCACTTCCACCTAAAACTTTATCTTCTTTTTATGGTAAAACATCACCAAAAAAATTGAATGAAAAAGAAGTAGAAGAGATAATTAAAGATGGGGAAGAAATAATTAAAGAAGGAGAAGATAATTTTGATACTAGTTATAAGGCAGCAGATATGGATAAATTACCATCAATTATAGATCCATTTCGATTTGAAAAATCACCACCACCACCTCTTAAAGGAGTTGGATTAGATAAATATTCAACTATGGAAGAAATATTTCATAAAAATTCTATACAAAAAGTTCTAACGAGTGCAGATAAAGAAACATTTAAACGAATTTTTTCAAAATTATTTGATCAACCTAGACTTATTCCTCAAAAGAAAAAGACACCAGAAGCCGCCGAAATGGATATTTCTTCTCCTTTAACTAAAAAATCAAAATCAAAATCTGCGAAAATGAAAGAAATAAAAGAAATTAAAATAAATTTGGATAATGTGGAAGAAACGCCAATTAATATAAAACTTATTGAAAAACATTTAAGCGAAATTGCGGAAAAGAAATCATTATTAGAAATTGAAGCGGAAAGTAATAATAAAGAAAATTCTATTAATAATGATAATAATGATAATAATAATAATAATAATAATACACAAAAATTACTAACACCTCATAAAGAATCCGATGTAGCAAAATGGCTTAGAGAACATTATGAATTTTTACCATCATTGTCATATATAGCATCCAAATTAAATTTACGTAATCTTTTTATACCACAAAAAGAAACAGCAGATTCATTTAAACGTGAAATTGAAGAATGTCAATCAGTTGAACAATTTCGTAATATTATAATTGAACAAATATTTGGTGGTACGATGACATCATCCGGAATAGCTGTAGCAACAACAACAACAAAAACAACCACATTATCATCATTAATATCAGAATGTATTAATGATAATAATGATAATAATAATAATCATATTATTAATGACAACAACAACAACAATAAAAATAATAATGAACAAATTGAATCAGTGACAGATGATTTTGGAGTTCCAATTCCTAATAAATATTCAACTCTATTAACTGAAGCAATTACTGCTTGTCACACAATATTTAAAGATCCATATATGGCATTTTCGATATTAGAACAAATAAAAAGGCGAGGAGCAATTTCTTATGTAATGGGATGTAATACATCAATTTATAATGAATTAATATTAATTAGATGGAATTGTTGGAGAGATTTATGCGGTATTGAAGGATTATTAAATGAAATGGTATCTAATGGAATTGATTTTGATCAACGAACTTTTTATATTATTAATAATATGATTTATAAAGAAGTTTTAGGTGTTAATAATGAAGATAATAATAATACTAAGAATAATAAAAATAATTTGAGCGGTGGTAATTATAGCGATGATAGTAGTGATAGTAGTGATAGTAGTGATAGTGATAGTAGTGATATCAGTGATACTAGTGATAGCAGCGATATTAGTGATTCTAGTGATTATTACAGCGAGAGTAGTGAAAGTAGTGGTGAAAGCAGTAGTGGTGAAAGCAGTAGTGAAAGTAGTAGTGGTGAAAGCAGTAGTGAAAGTAGTAGTGAAAGTAGTGACAGTGATGATGATGCTATACGAGAGAGAAGAGGAATTAGATTACAAAAATGGGATGACTTTGATTTAATGGCAGTTAATAATATTAAAAAGATTTTAGATATTTGGGGAAAAAATCAAAGTAGTAATAATATTAATTTAGCTGTTTGAGAGTAAAATAGCAATGCAATTATTTATTTTATTTATTAAAATTATTTAAAGAATAAATAATTAAACAGAAAAAATATTATTTTGAAAATTTAATATATATAAATATTATAGTTCTCCACTAGGGTTAGGAGTTGTTATGTAATTTTTGCCCAGTGGTGAGCTTTAGCAATATCGTAATACATATATTTATATTTTTATATAAGTTTTATAATAATTTTATTAAAATGGAAGATCCGGAGGAATAAATATTTCACCATCACCTTTAATACTACTACTACTATTATTATTATTATTATTATTATCATCATCATCATCTTTTATACTATTTTCATTACAACCATTAATACAATATTCAATATTTTTATTATTATCTGAATAATTTGAACATACTTGATGGTATGGTGAATATTGGTAATATTGATAATATTGTGAATGTGAAAATGGATGACAATAATATAGATTTTGATTATAATACCAATTGTTATACCAAGTATTATAACAATAACTTTCATCTTGTTTTATATGATAACTTTTATCTCCATTTTGTTCATCATTTGCATATACATGTTGATGCATGTTTTCTATTAATTCTTCTTTCTTCTTTTTATTTTTCTTCAATTTATAATTATTAATTGAAAATTTTGATGATCCATTATTTAATGTATTATTGTTCTTCTTTTCAGAAAATACAACTGGTAAAGGTTCTAGATTTTTAGTCTATTGTAATAATTGTAGTGATAATAAATAATAGAATACAATAATAAATAAGATATAGAAATAAATAATTTATTTTATAAAATTTATTAAAAATACCTTGATATTTTCTCTTTCATCCAACAATCTTTCATATGCCTTTTTATCTTCCTCTGTTGTTAATGGTCTTTGATGATGTTTATAAGAAATTTCATCTATCATTTTTTTTTTATAACAGTTAAAATTATATCCATTTTTTTAAAAATTTTTAAAAATAAATCAAATTCTTAATTATATTAATTAATATACCTGGAAGTGTAGTTATAGTCACATTATAAACTTTTCTCAAATTTTCCAAAAATTCAAATTCATTATTATCTAAAAAACTTATTGCTAATCCATGAGTTCCATATCTTCCTGTTCTTCCAATACGATGCAAATAAGTTTCTGCATCCTTAGGCATATCTAAATTTATCACTAAATTTACTCTATCAATATCTATCCCTCTAGCAATCTTTAATTAAAAGCCAATTTATTTATTTAATTTGTTATTTTTAACGGATAATTTAAATAAACAAATAATTTAGCACACAATATGAAATTATCTGCTTACTAAATCACTACAAACAAGAACCCTTATCTCAAAGTTACGAGCTTTTGACATTGTTTCCAAACGAGATTTTTGATCCAATCCACCTATTTACATGAATTTTAAAAAATAATAATTTTATAAGTAAAGAAAATATTATGAAAAATATGGTAATAATATATAATATATTGAAAGAACCTGAAATATTCAATGACATCCATCCTTGATTTGTTAAATAATTTGCTAAATCTATTGCTCTATAAATATTTAATAATAATAAGGAATATTTAAATGTGAAAAAATTATACATTTCTATATGAGATGAGATATATTAAAATATAATATATTTATATTATTTATATTATTTATATTCTACCTTCCACAATGATTTAAAAACACTATACACTGATAAAATGGGACTCGACCTAAAAGTTTTGCCAATTGCTTAAATTTTTCTTCATAAGATTTAAATTTTTCAACTGCATTATTTGTTTTTGGTATCTGTACTAATTTATAATATTGAAGTACACCTATAAATAACAATAAAGAAATTTCATAAAATTAATAAAATGATAAAATAATAAAAAATAAAAATAATTATTATGTACCTTCAAGACTTGGAGTGTCTTCAGAAAGCATAATATAATGAGGATTATTAACAAATTTATAAAGAGTTTTCACCAAAATCTTGTCATATGTCGCTGAAAATGACAAAACCTGTTTAACCTTGGGAAGTGCATTGTTAATTTTTCTAATTATTATTAATAAAATTGATTAATAAAATTTATTAAATTATTAATAATTATTAATAATTATTATTAAATTCTCACTTTAACTGAGGAACAAAATTTTTATCCATCAATTTATCCGCTTCATCTAATACTAATAACCGTATATCTTTGGAAATCATTCTTTTGCTACTTAAAAGAATTCCAATTCTTCCAGGAGATCCAATTGCTATATGACATTTCTTAAGTTTCACTAAATCTTCTTCAATTGGTAATCCTCCAATAAATACATTACATGTTAATCCATTTAAGAATTGTCCTATATTACAAATTACGTCTCTTATTTGTACGGCTATTTCTCTAGTAGGTGCCAATATTAATACCTATTATAATAAATATATATTTTTATAAATCTTTTAAAATTTTTATTATGAGAATATCATTTTTTATGTATATATGTTACATACTTGAGGATTGGAATTACTTAAATCCAAAACTTCCAATGATATAATTCCAAATACAATTGTTTTCCCTGTTCCTGATTTTGCTTGTGCAATAATATTTAATCCCAATTTTCCTGGAGGAATCGCTTTTAATTGAATCGGTGAAGGTCGATCATATCCTGCTTCAGTTAAACCTCGAAATATATTTTTGTTTGTTATTAAAGATTCGAAATTTATTTCTTCATCTATTTGAACGTCTCTCGTTCTAACGATATTAGATGACATACTTTAAAATTTATAATAAATATACAGTAACTTTATATAAATTAATAAATATCTACCAAATCTACTGAATATGATCAACCAATCATCAAATATAGATTATCGTTAATTTTATATCAAATACATTTACACTGTAATTCATTTTAATCATCATGGTTAAAGTTAATATCGGAATTATTGGAGTAGGTTTAGTGGGTTCCGAACTTATTTCTCAACTTACGGCACATATTGCAAATAATTCCTCTCCAAAGTTTTCAATAGTTGCTCTTAAAAACTCTTCAAAACAACTATTAAGTAATTCAACTTATACTTCACTCAACCTCTCTAACTGGAAAACAACTTTACAAACCCAAGGGCTTGCTTCTAACCTTTTAACCTTTGTTGACTATTTATCTAATAGTCCAACTCCTACAATTATTATTGATAACACATCAAGTTCAGAAATAGCTTCCCAATACCCATTATTCATTAAGAAAGGTTTACATATTGTAACTCCCAATAAAAAAGCTTTTAGTGAAGATATAGAATATTATAAAGAAATATTAAAAGAAGCTGAAAAAAATAAAAGATATTTGTTACATGAAAGTACTGTTGGTGCTGGATTACCTGTCATTAATACATTAAATGATTTAATTGGAACTGATGATAAAATTATTAAGATTGAAGGAATTTTCTCGGGAACTTTAAGTTATATTTTTAATGAGTTTTCTTCATTAAATGATGATACAAAAAAAAAGTTTTCGGAAATCGTTAAAGTGGCTCAAGAAAATGGATATACGGTAAATAATAATAATAATAATAATAATAATAATAATAAAAATAATAATAATAAAAATAATAATAATTAAGTTATATAAGAGGTTTATTTTTTGAGCTTACCAATTTATCTTGGAACAGGAACCTGACCCACGTGATGATTTGAATGGATTGGACGTCGCTCGTAAAGTAAAACCTTTTTTTTTTTTTATGATATCTTTTAAGTGGATATAATAATATATATTTTAATTTTATGATTAAATTCCTTTTTTTTTAGGTTGTAATTCTTGGGAGAATCGCCGGATTAGATTTAAGTCTTAACACTTTACCAATTGAAAATATTATCCCTGAACCATTACGTAACTTGACTTCATCCTCAGAATTTTTATCTAGATTATCAGAATTTGATCCCCATTTCGATAATTTGAATCAAACTGCTAAAAATAATAATAAAGTTTTAAGATATGTGGGAGTAATTGATTTAGCTCATGGAGAACAATCTGTAAAGTTGGTTAGGTAAATTATTATATTAAATTAAGATTATTATTTTAAGTTATTTAAAGTTATTTAAAGTTATTTAAAGTTATTTAAAGTTATTTTAAAACTTATTAATTAATATTTTAATTAATTATAATTATATTTTTATTATTTTTATTAATTATAATTATATTTTTATTAATAATAATATATTTTTATTAATTATAATTATACTTTTATTAATTTTATATTTCATATTAGTTTACCATCAACTCATCCATTTTCATCACTTAAAGGAAGTGATAATATTATTGCTTTTACTACACAAAGATTTCCTAATCCCTTGATTATTCAAGGTGCAGGCGCAGGTGCTGCTGTTACAGCTTTTGGTATATTTTCTGATCTCTTGAAGATTTATGAAAGAGTTTAATTCATAATATTTTATTGTTACTTGTATTCTCTATTATTAAATAAATAAACTTTAATTTTTTTTTTTAAAAAAAAATTTATTACAAAAAAAAAAAAAAAAAAAGCCTAAGATCAAATTTTCAGTTCAAATTATGCATAATTAAATTTAAATATTTTATTATTCACGTCCTTGATGAACAGTAAGTTTTGGTGCTTCCGTATTTTTTAAATACTCGTTGATGAATTCATCACGTTCTTCTGGCATATGATTTAATGCTAAAAATCGGGTGTCATCCTATAAGAATTACGAGAATAATATTATAAATAAATAAATAAATAAATAAATAACTAAATAAAATTATTATATACTTACTTTGAGAACATCGTGAATTTCCTCCAACTTAAGTTCACGCGCTTTCTCTTTTTCAGCACCTGTTTCATCTTTTGCTCCATTTTCTGATAATCGAACCATACGTGCTCTATATTCCAAAAATTGATTTTCTTTTAAAAGTTGTAAAAATTCTTCTTTAGCTTTCTCTATTCTCATTTTCATATAATCATCAAATAATTTTTCTAATTTATCTTCACTCTTGCTAAGTTTTACTGCCCGTCGATCATCCTTAACAATTGGATATATCTCAAGCCAGGTAGTATCCAATTTCACATGTTTGTCAAGAAGTTGATAGTATTCTTTAACACATTTTATATATATATTATCAATATATTCATTGAATAAACGTTCTCTATCAAAATCTTCTAGACCTTCTCCGTTGTAACGGTGATCACGTGCCAAATCAGATTTCTTTGACTCCCAAGTAATCTAAAAAAATTTAAATGTTAAGAATATATAGAAGATAAAGGTATCAAAATAATAATAATAATAATAATAATAATAATAAAACACCTCATGAGTTCGAACTAAATCAACCAATAAAGTTTGAAATTCACGAATAGATTCTTCACGAAGGAGTCTCTTCTTGGTCGAATTCCTATCATAATTCTGAATTCTTCTTTCATTTCTCACTTGAGCTTCTCTATTTCTTAAACTTTCCTCTTCTCTAAAATAAGCCGTAAATTGAAGATTAAATAATTTCATTTGAACTTTAAAACATTAAGTAGAATTTATACCTTGCTTTACGCTCTCTTTGTTTTCGTTCTTGTTCTCTTCTTGCCATTTCTTCCTCATCTTCGGCCTCAAGTTTTTTACAATATTTTCTGAATAATTCTTCCCTTTGAGTTGCTGATTGAACAGCTGCATATCTAGGATCGCTTTCGATTATTCTCTTAACCTTCAAAATTATTGATAATATATCATAATTAATATATGCAACTCATCGTTATTCTGAATAAAAACTGTTGCTCTTGTAAACAAAATATATAATAAAATATCAATACCCTTCGCCAACTTGAATCATATTTTATTCCTCTTGTTTCACTTAATAGTTCCCTAAAATCATCATCTGCTTTTTTCTGATTCTCCCGTTTACCTGTTATAATACAATTAAATTTTCGTAAATAAAAAAAAAATTATCATTTAAGAATGTAATTTCATGTAAACACTCACGTTCGGCCTCTTTTTCTTTTAGGTCCCGTACGTATTTACGAAAGAGTTTTTCTTTTTCTTTGTCATCACCAAAATTTTTAAACCTTGGATCTCGTTTGGAATTTGTTTTAAAACTGTCCCAATGAGAACGGTAAGTGGTCTCTTCTTCTAATAATTTTAAGTATTCGTCTTTTGCAGATAAATTCTATTAAAAGTAAATAATATAAATATAAATATAAATATAAATATAAATAATAAAAGTAAATAATGATGAGAAAATTCTAATAAAAGAATATTAAATGAAATAATAATTTACCTTTATTTTGTTGTTTTTTTCAATTCTCAATTCTTTAGCACGCTCTTTGCAAAATTCATCGTATATTTCCTTCTTTTGTTTCAATGTTGGGATTACTGATTAAAATTAAGTAAATTCATTTAAAGTTATATAAGTTATTTAATGTAATATGGAAATAAATGAATGAATGAATGAATGAATGAATGAATGAATAATGTGGTAATGTAAATATGGGATTATATTAATATTTACAATATTTGCTTACATGTATATCTAGAATCATGTATAATTCGTGGTAATTCTTTTTCCCATATTGAATAAGGTGATACATCCACATCTCTTAGAAGTGACTAAAATATTAATAACAATTGATAATTGTATTTATAGAATTTATAGAATCAAAAAATAAATGAATAAATAAAATGAATAAAATAAAATAAATAAATAAAATGATAAATAAATAAAAATATTCTATAATTCTTACTTTGAACATAATAATACGTTCTTCTAGTGAAAAGTTTACTTCTTTGCCTTTATCTTGTTGCTGAAAACCTTCTTCGTTCATTATTAATTGATCATGAGAGTCTCCGCTACCTGTTTCAGATAATAATTCTTGATCTTGATCTTCCATAAATTGAAGTTGATAAGCGATATCTTCTTCAGTTAATCTAAAATTATCAAAACATGAAAAAAAATGTGAGAAAAAAAGTGAGAAAAATGAGATGAGAAAAGTATAAATATAATTATATGAAAATTTTAAATTATATTCATACTCTGTTCCTTCATCTTTAATTTCAGTAGTTCCTTTAGCCCTTTTAACGTCCTCACTTGATTCATCATCATCCTCCGCTTTCCTTTTGATACCAGCTTTGTCATGTGATTTTTGATTATCTTTTGTTGCTTGTTCTTTCATCTGTTCTTTCATTTGTTTAACTAATTCTGAAATTTCCTCAGGTATTTCCCATACTGATTTTTTTGTTTCAGAATTAAAATAAAATTCATTACCCTCTGTTGTCATAACGAGGGACCACTTCGTATTAGGAATCGGTTTCCTAATTAATATAAATTAATATAAATTAATATAAATTATTAAAATTAAAATTATTAAAAATTAATATAAATTATTAAAATTATTAAAAATTAATATAAATTATTAAAATTATTAAATTATTAAAATTATTAAATTATTAAAATTATTAAAATTTATTAAAATTATTATAAGTTATAGAACAACTAACATGTGAATCTTACTTTTCTTTAGCCTTTTCCTTTTTTTTTTCTTTTGGTTGTTCTTTTGATTGTTGAGTTATTGTAACATTTTGTTGTTGAAGATTTGGGATCATTCCTGGCATCTGTTGAAATGGGTGAGAAGCAACATTCATAGAAGGATGACCTAAAGGAGGTGGTGGTGGCGGCGGTACCATGATAGGTCTCTCCCAAGTACTTTGCCCAGTTGACGCATTGTAATAATAAAACATTCCGTTAGGAGCACGATGTTCAGTCCAACCTGAAGGTAATAGTGGACGATATGGTATAGGGCCCATATGAAGTTGGGACATTAAATGTGAATTAACTGATGGACGTTGTTGAGAAAAATTAATGTTTCCAGGATGCGGCTGTCCTTGTTCGTTATTTGGAGATAAAGGAGGGGCGTCCATAATGTAATTATTATTTGAAGAATGAAATCTAATCAAAACGACAAAACAAGAAATAACGAAGAAAAAGTCACGTGTAACATTCAATCATTGGTTAAGTAAAGCAAAAACATATTATAATATATTTTCAAGAGGTTAAAAAGAGATAATCAAGAAAAAAGAGAGATAAATCAAGAGAAGACGGATAACCCGTCATTAATTTTCTTTTTTTTTTTTTTTTTTTTTTAATTTTTATTAATTTTTATTATAATTATAATTAAACCTGGATATCCAATTGAAACAAATTGAAATAGAAACCAAGTAAAAAAAATAATGAAAATTACGGCCGGCCGCTCAACTAAATCACTAAGAACAAAAAAAGGAAGGTGTTGTTGCGAAAACTAGATTAAATTAAATTTAAAATAATTTAAATTAATTTAACTAATTTAAACTAGAATAGATATAACGAATATATTTATTTAAAACCGTTTAACTATATACTTCTATGGATGTTATAATATAAATATTTAACAAATGAAATAAAAACTTTGGTGAATATGATTACAATGATATGAATAAGAAATATATAAGAAATATATGGGAGATATATGAGAGAGAGATATAAGAAATATGAGATATATAAGAAATATAAGAAATATAAGAAATATAAGGAATAATATGGATAATGTGGATAATATGAGTAAAGGGATATTTAAAAAAAAGAACAAATTTAACAAATTTGCTGCGAATCTCAAATATTCATAAAATGAATGATAAATGTGTATATATATATATGTATTTTATATGTATTTTATATGTATTTTTTTTGAGAAGTTTTTTTATAGCATTTTTTTTTATCAATAATAAAATATATAATCAAAAGAAAGTCTATTTTTTTTTTAAAAAAAAAAAACAGAAGGCATATCAGAATGTCCTGTAAAAATAATAAATAAAGATTATTGAGGGAAGTTGAGAATTATTGAAAAAACAAAAATAATATTTACCACAAAACTCTATGATATTTAAAATAAAAAAAAAAGAAGATATTTAAAAAACAAGTGGTTCATCCAATATAGCTTCTACTACAGCGTTTCGACGTCTCAAAGCATAATTTGGGACTCGAATATCTAGTTCAAACATTGGTGGTAAACAAAAGGATTCTGACTCAATGAAAGTATTTGGTGGTAACCGATAAGCCTCTTTACTCTCCATATCTTCTTGCACATAATTTGGACCAAAGCCAGAGTTGCCAATAGAAGTTATGGTATTATTTTCTGAGGTAGAAGAATACATGTTTAATAATAATATTATTAATTTGTTTAGTTTATTGAAAGTAAAAGAGATGTGTGAGAATTAGAAAGAAACTAGCACTTTAATAGCACGTTAAGGTAGTTTCACTAAAGAATATAAATAAGGAAAAGAGAATGAATCAGTTGGATATTCAAATAAATATTTGGTAAAGAAGCGTACGGTAGACAAAAGAAACAAAAAAGACGAAGAATGACTGAATTTATAAATTATTGTCCAAATAAAGGAGGCAAGCACAATATATGAATTTGACTAAATTAATTGGTGATATGTAAGAATTTAATACCCAGTAATATAAGTAATATACAATATTATTTATATTATTTATATTATTTGTACCTCATCTTATCAAGTGGTCAGTCACTGTTAATAAATTATATAATCATGTGATCCATCTTTACCTTCACATAAAAGTGTTATATCATGTAAATGATAAATAAACCAAATGTGACATATTACATATTGAATTTTTTTGTTATATCTTTGCAAAATGAATTGCATATGATTTAAATGAAGTATACAGATATAATAATAAATATGGTGGTAGTTTCAAGGTAAACAAACTTTGCTTGATAATTGGCAGTTACTATTGTAATTTTTTTCTTCTATTCAACATCTGACACTGTAGTGAGTATATGATTAATTCATTTTTTCCATATAATTCTGTTACATTCTTTTCTTCAGTATTAATATTATTTGTAATAATAGATACTTCTGATTCTGTGTAAATAACATGAATAATTTTAACTATAATATAGATCACAGTTTAGGATTTAAAAAGAATTCATTTGACACAGCAATGTTTTATGCTTAGAAATGGTTATATCTAAAGTTTGTAAAGGGTATTAACATAAAAGAAATTTCACAATATTATAAAAACAACTAACAGGACCTTGACTAATTAGTTTTTTGTTTTTATCAAGTAACAATATTTCAAGTCATAAATTATTTTGATTTTAGCTAATTCCTTTATGTAATTAATTATATCATAAATTGTATAATTTATTTTTCAATATAATAAACATCCTGGAATAAGGTTTTATTGATTTTTTTAAAAAAAAGATACTTCTAATTCTGTGTTATTGACTTTTTGCTTTTTTCTCTATTTTTATTTAATAAGTTTCTTTTGATATTGTGCAGATGTTTCAGTTACTTCAAATAGATTTTGTTCAGATGCCATATTTCTCTTTTTATTAAGTGTATATTTTATTTCAACAATAAGATATAAATCAGAAGGTTACATTCTAGCAGATTACAGATCATCATACAACTAAACATGAATATGTGACACTTGAATTTATATAACAAATACCTGTTATTTAAAAGATCTACATACCCTATTCTGGCCAACCTGTAACATATATAAGGAGAAAAAGAATTTTCTATGTAAAAATTAATAAGGATACCCTTATATGTATCAAATTTTTAATATAATTTTTACTTTTATTACTTTTATATTTATTTGTTAATTCTACAATTGTTATATTTGTTATTACTTATTGTATTGCTTCTATATTTATTATGCATATTGTTAATTTTTTTAATTCATTTTGTTAAAATTATTCTTGTTATATTAATTCTACAATTGTTATTAATCTTACTTATTAAATTATATGTAAAGTGTATTATTTGAATATTTGATAAATTCAATAAATACCTTAAAACTATTTTATTCTTTTTCATTTAACCAGTATTTTTTTAATTATAAATAGGATTTCAATTTATAATAAGTTTTATTCAAAACTATTGAATTTAATCAGATGCAATTAAAATGTAATTAAGTCATATGAAAAATTGATGCAATTATATAAATATAATTAATTGAGTCAAAGGCTTTTTAATTTTGATGACATGTATAATTTTATTAAGTATAGGTAGTTAATTTATTTTGATTTATGAAATTTATAAATCCATTTTTGTTTATTGAACCAATGGCAGTATAGACAGATAGATTTGAGTAATATTGCTTGGTTCTATTTTTCAACATTCTGTTAGAACAAGATATATGTCTAGAAATATTTTTTATAATTTCTAATATCTAATATTAACAAAACAACATTGTATATGAATTCCAAAGCAAAGTTTTTAAAACAAATAAATATGGTAGTCAATTTAGAAACTGATAATATTGGTATAAGTAACTCTATAAACAAAAGAATTAAGAGGTTGATAATTGGGCATTATAGATCTGACAGAAAAACAGTTATGAAAATTTGATAAAATAATGTCAAAATTATGCTATCAAATTTTAGAAAATAATAAAGACTGGAAAGATTTTTTAGTTGTTGTATTCTTTTTTCACAAAAATTGGATTTGCTTATTTGCAATCTATTTTTGTTTATTTTTGCTTATTTACAAAACATATTCAAATTATTCTTGCTTATTTGTAATATTTCTGTTATACTAATTAAAAAATTTGTTCATTTGATCTGTATTCTTGTGAACAAGTTTTTAGACTATTAAATTACTTTTTTGTAAGTTGAAATAATGTATTACTTACTGAATTTTGAGTTAATATTGTGACAATCATTATTATTTTATTTATCTAATTATTTTTTTAGATGTTAGTTTGAAGGGAAACAACCTGCATATGTCTTGAAGAAATACTGGATTGCAAAACTTTTTGAAATAGAGATATAGATGCTATATGAAATATAAAATTTTAGACATATATGTGAAAAGGTCTGAACAATTAAAAGAAAATAAAACCAGTCATATTGGTTGTTCATTGGATTATAGTAAGACTACCTGGTGGACAACCTTTGAGAATAACAAATAATATTATCTATTATTGGATCAATTTAAAATTATAGTTTTATAAGTAAGAAAAAGACAAGTTTTTATAAAAAGATTTTAGAATTAAGGGTTAAAATAAAGAAAATAGATTGTATCATTAATAAATTATTAAATTAATTTTTATCTATACAATAACTATTTATTAATTTTATTAATATTTAATATTTATTGGAATCCTGAAGAAATTCCTTTAGCTGGTGATTGATCTGTATTATTTATATATGCAGAATAAGTATGTGACCACACATATTTATGTTTTAATAATAAATTTCTTATTCTAGAATATGCTTCTACATTAGCATATGGTATGCCAGTTTTAGGATCTTTATATTTTGCTATTAAACCTGTAAATGGACATATCACCTTTTTTGCTTCTATTAAAATTAAAATTTATAAATTACTAAGTTATTAAAATTATTAAATTATTTAAAAAATTAGTCAAAAAACTTACTTTGGGGTTTCTTTCTCCACTCTTGAAATAATTTATTTTCTTCAACTCTTGAAAACTGTGAAAATATAACTAAATTTCTTGCTTCTCTTTTATCTTCAACTTTATTCTCCTCTCCTTTATCTTCCACTTGATCATCCTTATCTTTATCATCCACATTATCTTTTATTTTATCTTTTACACTATCCTCTATATTATCTTTTACTTTATCTTCTACACTATCTTCCACTTTATCTTCTACAATATCATCTACTTCTATTATATCTTCTAATATATCTTCTAATTTGTCATTTTTATTTTCAACAGAAGATTCACTACTAGTTACATTTTTAGGTTCCTTTAAAATACCCTTTCCTTTCCCTTCTTTATTACCTTTTTTCGGCACTTCTGTTATTAATTTTAATCTTTTGTTTGCCTCCCCACTACCATCATCAACATAAGAGATTTTCCGAATACAAGGTCCAGTTATAAATACTTTTTTATATTGCTTTGCTGCTACTTTCTTTTCAGCTTCTCTTAATTCAAAAGCACGAAGAGATGCCAAATTTTTTTCCTCTGTTTCTTTAGCTTGCATAAGTAACTCTTCTTGAGTTTTTGGTCGAACTACCACCTTTTCTCGCCTTGGATGTAATGCCTGCATATATTGTCACATTTTATCATATATTATTATATTTTATCATATCATATACTACATGAAAATAATAATGGTGAAGCAATTTACCCTTTTCTCTTCGTACTGCTTTAATTTTTCTGCTAACATTTGTTTACTCTGAACAGTGTGAGTACGTGATGATGACCGAATCCCAAGCAAAAGTGGCGCTTTATTAAAAATATTAATTATATTGATTTTTAATTATTCAATTATTTAAATTTAAAAGATTAAAAGATTTAAATAATCAAATAAAAAGTTTACTTTGTAAAGTAACCTTCTTTTTCTTATCAGAATTATATCTCATGGGTTCACTCTGATTATTCTGAGCACGTTCTTTTGAAGATACTTTTGATTTATTTACTTCACGTTTTTTTAAAGCCGGAGGCAATTGAGATTTTCTAGCTTTCTAAAAATATAAATTTATTATTATTATTATTATTATCATTTTTTTACACGAAAAACATAAAAATAGAATAAAATAATAATTATTAATTATGTAAAATAAAATATAATTACTTTTCTCGTCTGTTTTTCTTCAAGTAATATGTCTTTTTCGACAGTATCCTCATTTGACTCTTCTGATTCACTACTACTTTGTTCGATATCAGAATCATCCACTTCTTCTTCTATAAAAATTATATTAGATCTTTATAAGAATTCGTTGATTATATATAAATTTAATTGTATTCTATCAAACTTTTAAATTTTACCTTTATTTTCTTCCGTAAAATCTCTATCATCAGCAACCTCTTGGAACATTTCTTCGAGCTCCATTTCCCGTTCAATTAACTCCCTCATTCTTTAAAAAAAATTGGTACATTTAATATATTTCTTTACCAAAAAAAAACACCTCAATTATAATTATAAAAAAACTCACCGGGAGCCTGCATTGGCCCGCCGTTCTCTCATTGCAACGAGAGACATGTTATAGGAACGTTCCAGCAAAATGTATTTACCAACGATAGATTAAATATATATATATATATATATTAAGTTTAAAGATATATGATGTTTTAGCTCATTTTATATACTTTTTGAGGTGAATATCACGTGTACATTGGAATATTACATAATATTACATGAATCACAAGATGCAAATTTATCAAATAACTCAAAAAACATTGTGATTATTAATAGTGTAATATTAATTAATATTAAAAATAGAAATAATGACCAATAAAGTTTATAATGTGAATAATGTGAATAATATGAATAATATGAAAAACATCAATACAAAAAATTTTTTTTATTAAATTATGCTTTTTGCTTTCGAAGTTTAGCTTCTTCAAGATTGACACGATAACGATGCTATTAAAGTTATTAAAGTGAAATTATAAAATGAAAATTAAAGAGAAATTGTAAAGTGAAATTTTGTAAATAAATCAGACAATCGTATAAATGAAATTAAAAAAAAAATGAAATAGTTATAATTAATAAATAAATAAATAAAAAATCGGAATATATTGGAATATATTGAAATATACCTGTTTCTTTAATTTTAATAATTTAAATCTATCAAAATCGGTCAAAACACTTTTCTTCTTACGATTTTCCAATTTCTTAGCCCATGCTGTTTTATTCCATTTTTCTAAAATATTTTCCTTTTCAAAATATTTCCTTACTATAGGTGAACCTCCACTTCGGGGAAATTCTTTAAGTACAAAATCAGTGAGAGTGAGTCGACGGTAAGAATGAGAATGACGAGGAACTCCAGTAGTTGGGCAATCAATAAGTGCCTATAATTTTCATAAATAAAAAATAAAGATCCAATGATTTCTTTTATTATTTCTTCGATGATTTCTTTTATCATAGAATAAATGAAAAAAAAAAATTTTTTTTATGCATAAATTCTATAATTAAAAGCAAAAGGTTTTTATAATATATAATTTTATGTACCCTGTTATGGTCAATTATATCAACAATGACTGCGAGTTTACCCTCGCCTTCGCCACGGTCTACATAGACCACTCGACCGACTTCGACTACACGTTTAAATGTGCCTTTCTAAAATGATATATATGTAAATATAAGTTGTTATAGTTATTGTGATTTTATAGTTTTATAACTATGAATATATTAATTTGCTCTTTGGGATTCTCAATTTTTCGAAATTAAAATTTTTTTTGATCTTTGCTATGATCGTGATAAAAATTTACGTTATTAAATTATATAAATTTTCTTTATGAATTTCATTCTATCAGCATTGTACGTATAGTACTATGATGAATTGGTGAATTTTCGAATTTCCTAGATTTAGTAAAATACATACCGTCATATTTCTTAAAGATGGAGTGGATTCGAAAGAGGATCTTAAAATTTTTCAAGATGTAATTTATTTAACATTGTCTTATTGGCTGAATCATTAGTGACACAATAAAAAATACTAATTTTAAATTTATGTCTACGTAATTGCAATTTATAATAAATAATTTTGACATGTATAACCTAAACTTTGAGATAGTAAATTTTAGAGCTATCGTAATTCAACACTCCATATTAAATAAATAAAAATCATAAATTAAGCTATTCTATATTACAAAATCTATATCTTTAACAAATGAAGAAAATATAAATATAATATTTAGGACTTAGAATAAAATCTTTACACTTTCATAACTTTATACTTTTATATACTTATACTTTATACTTTTACATACTCTATACTTTATACTTTTATATACTTTACGCTTTATACTTATTTCACACTCTCCCTAAATTCACTTTTTTTAATAATAAAAAAATAGATTATACTTTAGAGATATAAATAACTTAAAATGAATACTTTAAATAAAATAAATACTTTAAATAAAATAAATACTTTAAATAAAATAAATACTTTAAATAAAATAAATAATTTAAATAATTATTATTATAATAGTGGTAAGAAAAATAAGTAACTTTCTCTGATGATCTTTTTTTTTTTGTTATCTCGCGTAGTTTCCCGAAAGACAACTTTTTGTATTGTATTGATCAATGTTTAGAAAGTTTCCACAAGTTTCTCTATGAAGAAGGAATTGGATTTTTTTTTTGTTATCTATGCATATACCCGAAAGACAACTTTTTGGTACTCTATCATAATAGATTTTAGTAATACATGCAGGTAAACAAAGATAAGGCTAAACCTAAAGGTAAAAATAAATCAACTCATATTTAGAAATCATGATATTTGTATCGAAAGAATGAATTTTTTTTTTTTTTTTTTAAAATGAATTTATATAATTTTGTTTCATTTATTTTTATGTATTATATTATTATTATATTATTATCACAATTTTGGGGTTAAATGCTTGTGATCAAAGATTTACATTATCAGTTAAGAAACACGTGAGATCCAAAAAAATAAAATCTAAAATTTTTGAAGTAACGCATATTTTGTTTTCTTTACTTTAATAAACCCATTATGAATATTATAAACATTGCAAAACTTAATTAAAGTCTTGTAGTCCTTTACTACAAATCAAAGAATTCTTTATGTAGTCAGCGAAAAAATTTTATTTAATAATGGTTTCGGGGATGAATTAATGATATATATCACGAAGTTTTTGGGGGGGAATTTTAGTATGATAGTAAAAAGTTTGTTAATATAGTTAGTACTTGTTAATACCTGTTAATACTTGTTAATACCTCTTGATACTTGTTAATACTTGTTAATACTTGTTATTTCTAAATTAAAACACTTCCAAGAATTAGTTTGTTTATTTATCTTTTACGTTGCATGATGTAAATGTAAAAGAGTGAAAAAAAAGGTTAAATATATATGCAAGGAGTAAACTTTGAAAATCCTCTCAATCGATATCGATATTATCACTTATGGATATTAATTTACTACAAAGAAATAGAAGAAACAATAATTGTACACAAATTCTATTCATTATAAAATTGCCTTCTTTCGAGAATAAAGTTATTTATTGTGTTACTCTGGAAATAACACGTGCATTTATCATTACGAGAAATTATAATTATATTATGAATATATTATGAATATACTGTATTATGAATATTACGCGGTAAATACAAATTCCTATCTTATTGTATTTTAAGAAATTTGGATCACGTACATATAACGTAAAATATAACTCTGATTCCTTTCATTCATTTTTTGCTCCTTTCATTCATTTTTGCGCTTTTCATTCATTTTTTGCTTCTTATATTTAATTTACAGATTTAATGAATTAAGCACATACATAAATTGAACATTTAATCTTCACCACGTAATACTCAATTCATTAAACATTCCACTTCATTTTCATTTAAAGATATAATGCCAAAGCATGTAAATTTTTGAATAAACCAAATGATTCCTTTTAAATGTTGGTAACATACAACCTTTGATAAGTAGATTCAAAAATACATTGAAGCAATTTGGAATAGGGTCATTTTATATATTTATTATAAGTAATCTACATAATATTTGTAATTTTCGATTTCTTTCATCAAATTTTGAACGTATGTTAGTATTATCAACATAAGCCATACCATATAATCAATTGTTTGTACAGTAGAAAAGTAGGAAATCAACGAATTCGAAAATTAGAAGTTAAACTTAGAAACCGAATATTTACTTATATTACTTTCAAATAATCAATCACAATAATTGTAATATTTATTTGTTTTCTGCAATTAAATGTAATTACGCGAATCAAGCAATTCCTGCATAGTATTTGTTTATTTGTTTTTTTTTTTTTTTTGTTAAATTCTTGAATAAATTCTTTCAAAGAGTTGATTAATTGTTTTAAAAACACTGCGGTCATGCAGCTTAGTTTATTAATTAAACTTTACGGACCTACAATATTATTAAGTTTTTTTTTTTTTTTTTTGTAAAGAATTTATATTCACATATTGATCGCCTTTAAAAATCCTAGTTTCGGTTTTTCCGATACTGAAAAGATCAAAAATAATAAGATATGTAATTTTTCCGTAAAATCAACAATCAATAAAAAATTATAAATTCAAAAAAATTTTAGGAACGATTTATATGATTTGAATACCGATTTATAATTTATTTTGTGACAGATAACAGATTAACTTTCACACATATAACCAATATTTAATACCATACATTTTTTTTTTACAAAATTTGAAATTAAAAATTAAATACGAAATAAAATTTATTCGCTTCATTGTTTTTTTTTTCTTTCGCCACCCTGGTTGTAAGCTTTCACAATTATAAAAAATTATTAGCCCTCGTAAAATAAATAATTTCGCTTAAAAAAATAAATACGTTTTAAAAAATAAATAAATAAAAAAATGAAAAAAAAAATCCGACTTTTTGAGATAAACCGATTGCGAATTGGGCTTGTTGAATTTATAAACGAGTTTTTTTTTTTTTTTTTTTTTTTTTTGTTGTACTTTGTTCGTTCGAATTTCGAATTGAATCGACACGTTATAACGAGTTTTCATCGAGTGAACCAGGAAGTTGGTTCTTCTGGATTCACAAATCATAAATTGAAATTCTATGCATGGTGCACCTAAAAACGAATGATTGTAGATGCGGTTTCCATGAATGATCTTTTTGAAAAAAAAATCTAATAATGGACAAATAAAATAAATGGAAATTAGTAAAAATATTTTAATGAATGATAAAATATAAAACAAAATTTATAAAAACTTGAGTATTAAAGTTTACCAAAAATTTAAATATTTTCTCAATTGGTCTCCAATTACTATTGTATCATTATTTTCTTATGCCTTTGATAAAGTAAAAGATATGAATTAAAAAGTCATATGATCTTATAACTGTTTGTTTATATGGTTTAATTGAAATAGTATCAAAGAATTTTAAAGAATGAATATTAGCCATAAAAGATCATTCTGAATTAATAATTCATTACAAAGACAATAAAAAAAAACAATAGTATTTGAGGAAGTATGAAAGGAAAGGTACAAAGAATCATTCAAGGAATTTTGGTGTCTTTATATATATGTACGTGGGTTCTATATGAATAATCTATTCGGTATTGTTATTAATATAATATAAAATTATAATTATAATTTTATTCCAAAGATATATAAAACCTAACTGGGGGTATTACATTAAATTTTATTTGTTTATTATATATTAATTTTATTTGTTTATAATATATTATATATTATTTCTCTTCCCCTTAATCTTTTTCCTATTTAAAATATTACACAACGAATCAAATCAATTATGATATGTCTATATTTTAACATACAATAAGTTTTATAATAATAATTAATAATAATAATTATAATTACAACTATGATATTATAATTTTAAAATAATTTTTTATTATAATAGTAATAAATATTATAATGACAAAAATAAAATAATAATTAGTCCACGAGTGCAGCATGTATTCATAGCTGCTCGCTAAGAAGTTATGATAGGAGAACCAAGTAAAAAAAAAAAATAAAATAATAATGCAAAAATTTTAAATGCAAGTTTTTGAGCAGAAAATATGCAGGTGTGAAAGAATTGTGAGAATGAAATTTATTATTATTTATTTATTTATATTGCATGAATAGGAAAAATATCATCAAAGAACTCATTTTATTGAGAAAATTATTTTATCGATGCGTTAATATTGCGTTAATGTTTATTCTTTAATGAATTTTTTCAAGTTCTTTAAATTCCATCATCAAAAGTTATCAAATTAAAAGATTGGTGATAGAAAATTCTATATTATTTTTTTTCTTTTTTTCTATTGAAATAAATTCTAAAAAATATTTTAAGTAATTTAGAAATTTCGTGATTTCTATTGCTCATTAACAAGAATGTAAGTTAAAATATATTCTAGAATTAAAATTGAATTTAAAAAATGAATTAAGATGAATTAAATAATTAAATAATTAAAAAAAAAAAAAAGAAAAAAAAAAGTATATGTAAAGGGAGAGAAGATAAAAAAATAAAATGATTGGTGATGGTGATTAGCAAATAATTACAATTGAAGTATATCACAACATTTTTCTATTTATATTTTGTGTTTGTTTAAAATTATAAAAGTTTTTTTTTTGATAAATAAACATCACCAGTATATTATGAATATTGTATGTATTGTATGTATTGTACGTATATATAAATATAGATATTTCAATAAGAATTTTATTAAAAGAAAAAAAAAATCAGGTTAAAATTTTTTCAATAGATTTGACCTGATTTAGTTTCAATGGGTTCAATGCAATTAGAAATCTTGTTTATTATTTGCTTTAAAGCTTTGAACATAGCGTCGCATAATTGAAAGTGCGTATTGAAATGTAAATAGATATAAAAAGAGAACGGTTAAGCAATACACACCATTCACATAATGTGTG